TTAGATCAAGATATTGTGTTTGAGTCCTTAATATCATGCTTCAAGTCATTAGGCCATGTATTAGGTCAAAAGTCAATGATAATTCATTTTCAATTAAAACCCTAATTTGGTCAGTTTTGCCCCTTTGATGATTTGAGTGCTTTTCTTGAGGAATTATGATCATCCCTTGATCAAATAATGAATATGAATTCAAAATATTGATGTTGGCCAAAAATCTTGAAGTTTAACTATATATTGATCACAGTTGACTTTTTATTCAATATAGTTGATTTTCAGTCATCTGAGCAATTGACTGAGCAATTTTGAGATGCAAGACTTGAAACTTGACATGAGCATTCTTTGAGGTCTATGATGAACCATGAAAGTCATTTGAGGCATTAGAAGTCCAATTTTCCTTGTGAAAACCAAAACCCTAATTTGTGGTCTCAGTGCTTAAGAGGTGAGCTTGTCTGATCAACTCTTTGAGAATCCTTGAGCATTTGGGATCTTTTGTGAGAAATATCTTGAAGAAAAGGGAGGGAAAATTTTGGGGTACAACAATGTGTGTGTGTATGTTTGTGAGCTTCCTTAGCATCTCAAGAATTACTCTTATACTTTTACATTAAACTTGTCACTTAGATATGTGTTAAGCGTAAGACCGGGTGAGCTATCACACTTTCTCTATTTCAAAACTTATGAGCTTCAAGTTATTTTGCAAGATTCATCATTGATTTTAGTACTTCAACTAGAACTTGACTTTTCCTACTTATGAGGCTTGAGATAACTTCTTTATCGGATATCATCCCCAAATATTATTGAACTTTTTTCACCACAGACTTCACCAAATTCCATTTAACCTTAGGTGTTGTCACCATCTAATAGTTGCATACAGTAGATCCAAGAACGTGCTCGGTCAAGGGTCTCTTGCACTTCCCTTCCCCCAAGTTTAGACTTGGTTTGAGGCTGACGACGAATAGACTCACCGCATGTGCTTTGCAGTGGCTAGCTAACTATAAGGGGTAAGCCCTTATTTACCACTTTGAGTTTCGTTGTCTTCATCTTAGTGCTTGTTATGCGGGATTTTGATTGCTTTAGTCGTGCATATGTAGCATCTGCGACAACACTATTGAGTCATTATCCATGGGGTTTTTGATTGCTTTGTCATTTGCATGTGGCGTCGACATCAATGTTAAGCTGTTTTTCGTGGGGTTTTTAATTTGAATGAATTTTCAAATGTTTTTAATATTTTCAAAAATTTTAAATGTGTTTGAACGTTATTTTAAAATTTTTAATATTTAAATGTGTTTGAATATTAGATTAGTTTGTATATTTTTAAATATGTTTGAATATTATTAAAAAATAAATATTTAAATGTATTTTGTAAAATATATCATAAGTAAAATAAACAAAAGAATAATGTAGTGTGTTAATACATATTTAAATTATGAACTATGTACTCAAAAGCACAGTGGCTGATATGGTTGACTTGCTCGTCTTAGAACCCCGGCGCCCCTAGTTTGAACCATGTTAAGGGCAATTTTTCCTTTCGATATATTAATTATTTTAGCTCTAATAATTGTTCATTATTTAAGAGAATTGAAAATGAAAATAATAACACCCGAAATTTAAAATAATTCAAAATAAAAATAAAATAATTTTACATCAGCTTAATTGTCATTAAAAAATAAAAATTAATATTTAATTAGCATGCCAACTAAGCATTTTTGGTGATTAAAATTTTCAGAGGGTTTAAAAAGGACAAAATCTTTAAAATCCAGGTAACAATATGTGTTTTTATAGGTTTTTTTGAAAATCGCCCAAATGAAAAGAACAAAATAGTTATTAATCTTTAAAAAAATCAGGTATTATTTAGGCTCCTTTCATATTGTTCGGTTAGTGGCAAAGAAAACACAAAGGTATCATTATGCTAACCTCTTAAAACTAAATCAATGTTATCTAATCAATGATCAATACATCTCTATCCTCCACATAGGATTGGAACATAAGATCTCTTATTGTAATGATGGATGAAGAGCTTCCCTATCTTTCTTCAATACTATTAACCAATGTTGTAGACATGTTGTATTGTAATTATCCGTTTATTTTGATTTCCATGGTTTACTAGTATTTCATGAAAAATTAGGTTAATACATAAATAGAAGGCAGACAGACAACAAATTGTGTTGTTATTCTTTTTTTTTATCACAAAACCAATCTTCTTAAAAACTATATTCATAGATCTAGAAGATACAACATTGCTATTTATAAGTCTTTGAACTCTCTATAAAAGATCAACTGCTTCTGGTGCTAGGAAACCAAAAGTGTCAAAGACAAATGATATAAAAATATGTTGATTTTCAGAACACGCTTTCTCATGTTTGACCACTTTACTAGAAGCAGATTTGAGAGCTGCCTGTCCCATAGTAAAACCACCATCCCTCAAACCTATCAGTAGAGAAACTCCCGTCAAGTCCACAAAAGCATATTTCCCTCCCACCCACCCGTACACCAAAACATCTGCTGGCCTAAGTGTTGATCTCCCCTCAAGTGGGTCTGTCAAAAAATTCATCAGCGCCTCTTTCTTCATAGATACTCTGGCACGTCAGAATATATCAAACAAGACATCCCTAACAAGGTCATGTCGCTATTTGAAGCCCAGAAGCTCCCTATAATGAATCGCGTGTTCCCCAAATGTATCCAAACATGCCTTACGACAAACAAGACAAACCTCATCAATAGGAAATAAATGAATCATAAGGCGGTATCTTAGGATAGTACGATACTTCACCTGTGACATATGTTGACCTAGCTCATCAATAGGAATAGAAAGGAGAAAGTCTTGAGCATGTGCGGCTTGCAAACAACCAAAAACTGCCTTCTGCCTCGTGGTCATGTCAAACTTCACATTCATGTCCTTAACAATTTTACTAAAAAGGGCACTCGCCAAAACATGTTGTATTTTAGGAGGGACGATGTCCTTACTAATAAAATTGCTAAGGTCAAAATATGGAATCACAACACTAAGCCATCCAAAGCTCTGTCGAAATCTGAGTTCATACCATACACCACACTATGTCTCAATATATGATCTTGCAACACCCAAGATTGGGCCCTAGAAGCCAGAAAGGCGTATTAGGAAGCCTCCACAGCTGAGTACAAACCCAAACCCCCAACTCTAATGAGTAATGAAGCCACCCACCATTGAAGGTCCCCGAAGAAAGGAACTCTACCAACCACGATGTCTTCAACCGCCTTTCGTAACTCTTTATCAAACCAAACAGCTGCTTCCTCCATATGAGTAGGTTGGCACTTTCTTAGACCAAAAAATAATTTGGCAATACCCATGCAAGATCGAAGTAGAAGAAGCTCACTATGAGGATCCCTTAGTTGTGGTAGAAGGTGCATTAAATCAATAGCCCTAAAAGCTCTCTTCTTGGACAACTCCTTAATGAAACTGTCATCCCGACTAACAACCGCTCTAAGCAACTTCATCCCCAACAACGGCCTCCCAATTTCTAACGACGACATATCTTCACGAAGTTTACTACCATCACATGAAGGCCAAAAGATCTCAGTCTTACGAATATTCAATTCAAGACCTAATCATGGACATGTCTCCCGAATGATATCAAGGGTTGTAGCCACCTCCCGTGAATCCCCTATAATAGTCCCATCATCAAGATACCGAGCATGAAGAAGAAGCTTACAATTGTCCCTAACTTGATAAATGAGTGGGTGTAACACCAGAGAAAAAAGGAGCGGCCCTAACGGATCACCTTGTTGCACTCTGCTGGCTGACATAATATGTCCATCCCCAAGGTACAACCTTGGTGCTTGGCCATAAAGAAATAGATAGGAATCTCACCCTCACCTCATGCAATAAGGCGGATCAATCTACCATGATGACAGCATTCGAGAAGTCTACAGTGAGCATAGCCAAGAAATCATCTTTGTGTCGCTTGCTTAACACCCTGTTGGCACTATGCATAATAGCCTCAACACCACTGATACCCCAACCCCAAACTGAAAGTCATTGAGGTATCGTGCCATATCTTTACCAACCCCTTTCATAGCAACCTTGAACACCAACCGCCTCCAAATAGAACCCACATTAATTGGTCGTATCCCACCACCAGGCTTTAATGACGGTGTTAATGGTGCAGAGGCAACAAACTCCACCAAACTCATGAGACATCTTCCTCCTAGCCATAAGTTAACAACTAGAGTAATTGCGTTTAAAATATCTTTCGCCATAGTAGAATCTTATCCATATAGTGCATCTAAAATATGTTGAGCACGCAAACCATCTCTACCACATGACGTCCTTTTGGGAAAATATTTAATACATTTGAAGATAGTATTTACCTCAGGCACTAGGGGAGATTCTGAGAATAAGGTGGTCGGAATGAAGGGAGGTAGTCTGTACGGGTGCTTAGCCTCCAAAACCTTCTTGTATGTTCATTATAGGGAGCCACACCGGATGACCCTAACAATTTTACAGTCGCTGTGAAATAGCCATTTACAACCTTACAAAGACATTGCTTGATATTAGAGCTCATCTTCTTATCTTTCTTCTGAATATGAACACCCCCACAACCCAAGTTACCTTGCTCCAAGCTTCCCAACACACTATCATCTAACTTTCCAAGACCATGTGCATCTCTCCAAGTAGTTAAACACTTCAAAATATGGTGTTGCTGCAAGAACTTCCGATTTACAAACCTGCGATCCCGCCTATTCTGAGGCTTAACCACCTGTAATGTACAATGAGGGGGAAGTAACAACTGAACCCATGCACCTACTAATCTCGGATCAACAACCACCTTATAAAGAGAATCTTTTAATGTTTCAGAGAAAGCAAGACAACAACTTAGAGGTATACTCTTCACAATGAAAATAGGTGCGGTAAGAATTCTCTCTAATAACCTTGCATCCAAAATAATCTCCTTATTTGCTTCGAGGTTATTAGAGTTAATTGAGGGTGGTGGTTTAACAATACCCATAATGTGACTTCAGACCCCTCATGTCCCGTGAGTGACACGAACAAAACCATCGGGATGATGACATGTACGACTCATGGCATGAATGCTCATACACTTTCCACATAGCCATTGCTTAACCACCCTCAAAGACTCTTTCAATATCGTAAATAAATCATAATCATTCTCAATCGCATTTTGTATGACATTTTTCCGTTCGTCACTACATAGGTGTAGCATCTTAAGATGAGACACCAAACGAGAAATATCTTTGTCTCATCTCTACCATCGGGGAAACAATGAAATCCTTGAAGTGGACAATGTAAACCTCCTATTTGAGTAGAAACCATTAGACAATGCAAAATTGTGCTTCTCCTCTACCCAATACAAAAGATATCTAGTTGGGGAATTTTATCAAACACATGGCGAAAAACAGCAAAAGAGCATTTCGCCATGGTTGTCTTGTTGTCTTGCTCTACCTCATTGAACCATAATGAGAACCAGAAGGATGAATGGACAAACTTGTCAATGTAAAGATGAAGGACATTGTGGTGTGGTGAAATGATGTACAGAAACAAACCTGTGCGAACTTGCTCCTCCTTCTGTCTAAGCGTTTTAGCGGATGGGAGAATGAACATAAAAGAAACTCAAAAATCAAAACCCAATTTTTTTTCCTTTTTTCTTTTTCTTTTTTCTCTCATTACATAATTCAACTAATAAAAAATTTTGATAATTAGTCCAATGTTCTTTTTCTCTTATCTAAATCAATATAAATAACCACAATGGGAAAAATGTGTTTCTACCATGAACATTACATTCTTAGTGTATAGTATGTTGCAAATTCCATTTATAAGAAGTTTCATATTTGAGAAACAAGGCATAAAGTAACTCATTCCAAGTATCAGGTACACCAGGAAGACACCAATGACTACAATCTTGACGATGTGGATTTTTATTAGGACCCAAATAATATTTTGATGAATGTCCATCTTTTCTCTGGGCTGTCATCTTTGTTACATTCAATATCTTCAACTTCATAACTTGAGAAGTGTTTGTGTGTTCTAATATTGCAGAATTTGCAATTTTAAATTGTGACCAATTATCTTTAGGTACCAATGATGATCCAATTTCTGGCAGTGTTTCTAAATGACAATTTCCATCTTTCTTCCAATCTCCACCTCTGTATCATATACATGTCACATAAAACTCTATTTGAAAATTAAATTCATTTAAATAGTTAAATAAATTACAAACCTGAAATGCACAGGGGCATATGTACGAAAGAAAACTTGCGTCTTGCTAGGGTTTATTAAATCTTCTATCCAATTTAGTGTTGTCTCAATAGACCTCTTATATGCATCTTCTACCTTCATATCCAACTTAACTTCCTCGTGTTCTTGGAAAAAGCAACCCCTACACAAAATTGTTAGCAAATACACTATTTAGGTCAAATTATTTCAAATATTAGATATTACATACTATAATATTATCAAGCATGTTATATATAAGTGATGAATAAATTAGAGTAATTAAAACAAGAGAGGATAGGATTACCCTTTGATAGTTTTCTCATAATTCCACCAATGTCCTGTATTAAGAACCAAAACATCAGCATCACTCCATTTTTTAGAATTCCAATCCATTTGATCTAATTTTAAGGTTGTTATAATCTCTTCAGAAGCTCCTGTTGGAGGTCTACTTTGCAATACAAGAAATGGAGCTCTATAGTATTCTATTGTACAGTTATAATCTTTGAATTTGAACACCAAGAATCCCTTGTGCTTTGTAATTGGATTGCCATTTATTTCATAAATTGATTCTTTGTTAGAAACTTCCGAAGAAAGCATGCATAGTAGTGATTCCCATTGATTTCTTCCAATTGAGTCTCCTGCAAATACTAGTCGCTTGTTTCTTAATTTCTCCAACATTATTGTTGCATTGAATCTGTTTTTAAATTTAAAAAATAGCATAAATTAGAACATTATTTTATATAGTGTTTCATAAAATATTTATTCATTTACATTTACGTAGAAATTAAATTGCGTATTGTGATAGTAAGATATAATTCAATATTAGTCTGATTAAGCTAATTCACTTGTATTTATGCAAAGATATTTTATTGTAGGAAAGTGGGTTCAAATTTGTGATTTATCATTTATTTACTTTTTATATAGTGAAACTCTAACTATTACATTATTAACATAAAAATAATAATAATTCAAGATTCAAATCATTAAATTAAATGAAAAAAGATAAATAATTAGTTAAATAAAATTGAAAAAAATAATATGAGATAGTTTAACTAACATGTTTTAATTGAGTTAAATGTGTGTAATCAATTTCTCGCAAAATTTTGGAAATAAAATGTAAAAAAAAAAAAAACATAATAAAAAATGCATGACTAAAACTAGCCATATCCGTTTTGCCGATCTACATAAAATATGCTACATATAAGTAGTAATTCTACACATGAAGAAAGAAGTATCATAAAACATATAACAAGAATGTTTCTTTAATTTGTTTAAAGGGTGTGCAAATTATGTCTTCTTTTTTTTATTTATATAAATATAGCTAATTGTAATTGAGTCATGTGAAATAAGCTAGACTCTCATGATATTAATTGTAATTGAGTCTTGTGAAATAAGTTAGATTCTCATAATATTGTGTTCTAGAACACTTATTATAAGAATTATAAAATAGATATTTTTATTTAGTACATTTTCTTAAAACTTTTAGAAACTGCTATCAGTACAATGTTTTTATATTTGATTGATTAACAAATATAAGAACATGTTAACCTTTGTTATATTTACTCAAAGATTGATGATTTTTTTGGTAAAAGCACCTCATATACTGACCAAACTTATTTATAACTATTGATAGAGATAAATATATTTACTTTATAAAGAAAAAATATACATTTATTTCTTCAATTAAAAAAGGTAGTTTTATTTGAACTATTATCTATAAAAAATATTCTTAACTATAATAATAAAATCATGTGTTAAATATATTTTTAATTCTTATAAATATCTCAAATTTCATGTTTAATCTCTATTAAAAAAATAATAAATTTTGGTCCCTAAAAAACTTTTGTTCATCCAACCTATTTTCTAAAATTTTAAAAACTGTTTGATTACTCTTAAACTTTTAAATTTTTGAATAATATTTTTTGTATGTGTTTAGAATACTATAAAATATTTCTTTATTAAATTTTAGAATTTTTTAAAATGAGAAGACTTAAATATAATTTTTTAAATTTCAAAAGATATTGATAAAAATAATGAAAATCTCGACTGAAAAATTAAATTTTGATTTTCTTTTTTTAAAAAACTTTTTATAACGTTATAAACATATCTACAAAATAATTATTTAAAAATATACATTGATTTAATAACAAGGACTTAAATTATGTGCATAATAATTTTGTAGGGACTAAAATATATTATTATTTTAACAAGGATTAAAATTGAAAGTTGAGATATTTATAAGGACTAAAAATATATTTAACTCTAAAATTATTTTAAAAATCTATTTATTGAATAATTTACATATTTAATTGATATATAATTCACAAACATCGTTTATTCAATTAATTTTAAAAGTAGTGTTTTTCCTCAGATAAAAAACAATAAAGTTTTTATAATAAATCCATCTTAATCATAAATTTACTATATGTCATCCTTACCCATATGGCAATTGCCACCTAGTTTAAAGGTCACTCTCAACGTGACAGATACGAGTAAGACCTGTTCAAAGTCACACTTTGACAACATTAACAAATCAAATTTAACACAATAAGTTTTGACACACCAATGAATCCAAGTACATACAAAACTTGTGATAAAAACAATGATCAAAAGAGAGAAATAGTAGTGTTTTAGTCTCCACTCTTCGAACACATTTATAAGTATTAAAATTAATTTTTATGATTATTAAAAAATTTATTTAAGTGTAGTTAATTTTTTAGATTTTGATAAAAAAATTAATTAAATTAATTATAATATTCTCTTTATTAAATTCAATAAAATATTAGAAAATAAAATAAATTTAATAGAATATTAGAAAATGAAATAAAATTATATTAAGAATTATAATATTAAATAATTTAGTAATAATTAATTTTTACTTATAATAGTGATTAAGAATTAAAATATTATTACTTATAAATGTATTTAGAGGAGGTTGTACGTACCTGGGCAAATTACAATGTTTAGGTTGCCATCTCCATTTTGTGTAGAACAAATCAGGTCTTCCATTCTCAGAGCAACGAAATCCTAAATCAAGAAATTTGCAATCTTTTGATTCATACAATGGATACTTTTCATCCCAAACCCAATTCCCTTCAAACAAATCACACTCATCACCCTTTTCTCCAATAAAATCAACTCTACTATCTTCATGTTCCCTTGACCAACTAAACCTCTTCAATTGACCAGAAATACCAAATTCTTTAAAATTTAAGTAGAAGAAACAACATGTAGTAATCACAAAAACTAGGAAAAATCCAACCACAACCAAAGACGGTTCAAACAACCTTAAACGCTTCACCTTCCTTAATGTTTCAAAAACTACCATCTCTCCCAAGTGTTTTGCTTTGGAGAAATCTTATTTTCTAGAATTATGTTGTTTTTTCATTTTGTGTAGAAGGGTGGCATGTAAGCAATATATGGCACTTTTCATATGACCCAATAAAATTTAAAAATGTTTTGCTTGACAGATAAATTTGGTAAATAGTATCGTGAATGATAAGGCAAAGATATATGGGTGTTGAACAAGCAAGGAAGCACCTTTTTTTTAATCATTAATGTTATATATATATGGTTGTGATATCATATTAAAAATAATAGTATTAGATTAATAGTACTATACTATATGATGATAATACAAAACCGTGATCATGAAAAACCGAAGAGTTATAATGACATTGGAAGTTAAGGAAAGGAATGGTGGGAACCGGGAAAAGACGTGGCCCACGTTGTTTTGAAAAGTGGATCGTGTGATCACGCGCTTAATGGAGCGTGGGCCAGTGCCTTCGTTTTAACGCCAAAATGTAAATAATAAAAATTAAATTATTTTATAAGAAAAGTTTATAATTTTAAAAAATATATAATTTTAAAATAAATATAAAATTGTTTTTATCAAAATTATTTTACATCTAAGATATATTTTAATTTTCTGATATGATTACCGTGTATTCACAGTACTGGTGTGTTATTCATGCCTTCGCACGGGTATTGATGTGTTATACATATTTGTTTTCAAAATTTAATAAAAATATAAATAAATAAAAAATTGTTTTATAAAAATATTTATTATTTTAAAAAAATCATATTTAAAAAAAACAAAATTATTCACAATATAAATAATTTAAAAGTAATATTTATCTCCTGTTTGCATTTATATATTATTTAAATTATTTTTTTTAACTCTACAAAATAAAATTACTTTACAAAAATAAATTATAATATTGTATTTACACACTCACTACATAATTTTCAATATTTTAGTGTTTTAAAATGTCACCCCGTTACTCGATATTCTTTAAACAATGAGATTAATTATTATATATTATCATTATAATTTTTTTTACATATTTAACATATTATAATTATTCATAAATATTATTTTATAAATAATTAAAATAAAAATTAAATTTCAATAAGTATTTAACGATTGTGATTCATTAAATATAAAATTATTTTATATTGTCGATACAGATTAATTAAATTCATTTAAAATTACATTCATTAATTTGCACAATTCATATGGCATTTTTGAGACAAATCTTATAAATTCTAACAACGGTATAAAGTAAGAAGATATTTGTTTGTTTCAAGTAAATGATGTGATTTTAATTTGATTAATTATAATTAATTTAGTTTCTTTTATGTGTTTTATATTTAATGTTAAAATATTTATTTGTTTTAATTTTTTTTTATTATTATGCATTGCCAGTGTAAAATTTCTTACACTATTATTATATTACGATCACTATATCACAATCATTTAGTCATAATATTTAAAAAAGTTAAAATTAAAATATAATATTTCAACAAATTTATGATTGTGATTAAGTGACGGTATAAAATTCATTTACAATGTAAGTGTATTTTAATTAAATTCTTTTTTAATTATTTAGAGTTTAATTAATCTGATAATTTCTGCGCTTGTTCATTCTGTAATTTTTTTCCGTTAAAATCTTCAAGTTGATCATATGTCATATTCACACCAAAAGCATCCTCAACCATCTCATTGATCAGATACAAGTTTTTCTCATATTTCATAGACGATCGACTATTTGAAGCATGCATGTTGTTAGACTCTGTACGTTATTCGATAGTTCTTCATCGTTATACGTTCAAACACAATAATTTTCAATCAAACTCCTTCTATGCAAATGATGTGCTACTTCCTCCAGATCACTTATTATTGGTATACATTCACATTTAAGACAAAAACACCTAACTCAGAGTCACGTTATTCGATAGTTCTTCATCGTTATACGTCCAAACACAATAATTTTCAATAAAACTCCTTGTATACAAATGATGTGCTACTTCCTCCGGATCACTTATTATTGGTATACATTCACATTTAAGACAGAGACACCTAACTCCTCCTTCGCTTCGACAACATTCATGAGCAAACACCTATGTGATAAATTAATTAACTCCTTCTATAAAATAGAATTTAAGTACACGTCTTCCTGAATACAATCTATCATTCATCCAATTACGATCATACCGATAATATTTCATATTGTACATTTATACAATCATTGTCTTATTATTCACTATAAATAAACATTTAATTATAAAAATTATAATTAAATTTTATAACTATTTTGAATATATATATATATATATATATATATATATAATATATATATATATATATATATATATATATATATATATATATATATATATATATATATATATATATATATATATATATATATATATATATATATATATATATATATATATATATATATATATATATATATATATATATATATATATATACATATATATATATATATATATATATATATATATATATATATATATATATATATATATATATATATATATATATATATATATATATATATATATATATATATATATATATATATATATATATATATATATATATATATATATATATATATATATATATATATATATATATATATATATATATATATATATATATATATATATATATATATATATATATATATATATATATATATATATATATATATATATATATATATATATATTATTTTATTTTATTTATAATTCTATTTTTTAAAATTAATAATATTTTTTATACATAACTATTTAATGTTTTTTATTAATATATAATATTTTGTTTTTCATTAAGATAATATATATACTACTTTTATTAATATATTCTGTTTTAAAAAAAAATTATATACTTATATATATATATATATATATA